ACTCAGTATGGTGGAGGCCTTGGTAGCTGTGGTCCATTAGTCCTTTGGACTAATCTTTTCCTTGTATCCTGTTCTCTTCATTCTCCCTTACTCCTGAAGGGGTGAGACCAGTGGAGTATCTTAGATGGCCACTCACAGGCTTTTAAGACCCAAGATGCTACTCACCAAAGTAGAATGTAGAACATTTTCTTTATAAATTGTGTTATGCCAACTGAGCTAGATGTTCCCTGAGACCATGGTCCCCACAGCCCTCAGCCCAGTAATTTGGTCCCCAAGGGAATTCGGATTTGTCCATGGAGCTTCCATGAGGAATGGTTTATTATTTCTAATAAAACCACCAAATAATCTGAAATCACTTTATTTCTTCTTGTCACAGCAATAGAGAATAAAATTCATCAATCTGAACAAAGGCAGCAGCAGCTGAAGAAGGAGATTGAGCTACTCCAGGACTTAAAACAAAGGTTGTACCTTCTTCAGGAAAACAGGGGCCTTAGGTCTGGATCTACTTCAGTGTCTTCCCTGTCTTCTTAAGGATGACCATTTCCCAAACAAGGTGCCAGGCAAAATGGCAAGCAGGCTCACACCAGAGGCCCGGCCTATGAGGAACACAAACCACAGGATTCTTAGCCCTCCTCCTTTCTGGTCCATGAACTGCGATCCATGCCAGCTCTCACCTGTTCTTGCTGACTGACGTTTCATATCTGACTGGTGTTTACTGCCGTCCTCTCAACTGTCATCTCTCTTCTTTCCCTACTTCTCTAATAAAATGTTTGTCTCAGACTCTGCTCGACTCAGTTGGATCATGCCCTATTTCCCCCACCCTCTGCACTTCACATCCTTCCATGGCTCCCAACTGGTGCATCACCCTGCCCATCTCCTTGATCTGACACACCAGGGGCTCCTGTTCCCACAGGGCCTTTGCACATTCTGTGGTGAAGGCTTAACTGCTCTTTCACCTTTCTTGTCAACTCCTCCTCCCCCAGATCTCATCAGAACACTTCCCTGACTCCTCCACCTTAGAGGCCGTTTCTTTCATACCACTTACCACACTTTGTGTGAATAATTGATTGTATCTTATATCACATCATTAAAATATAACCTTTCTGAGTGCATAAACTCATGATTTCTGGGTTTTGGCCACTATTACAACTCTTTTGCTCACAATAGTGTCTTGCTCACTATCACATCCGCAGCACCTGGAATGCTCAATAAATGTTAAATAAATGTGTAAACTATTCTTAACTTTTTAGACTAGTTCCACCCTCTTCGGTGTAAGTTTGAAGGTACTGCTTTACTTGTACCAAATTTACCTGTCTTCATGCCGCATAAAGTCTGCCTTTTATACTTCTTTTCAGCCACAATTATCACATGAGCATCCATCATCTTCAAAACAAACATCTAAATTTAAAACTGGACTCTTGAATAAGACCATCACTGGAAATACGCAAGAATGAAAAAATATTTTTTTCAACCTGACAATATAAAAATCAAATATTATGTCCACACCTCCATGTCTGACCCCTAAGAATTTCACACTCATAATTTTTTATCCTAGTACTCTGATTTGCAATAAGGCTACATTTCAAAATGGATTTGATCTGAGTCCACAGCACAGTATTCAAAAAGTATCTGCTGAAGAAACACGAAGTAGAAAAAAAGAACGTGACTGTCCTTGTTGTAATGGCAGTCATAGCCCAAGTCATTATTACTGGAGACAAAATCTAAATCAGTGGTTTTCAAATTTGGCTGCATATCAGGATCACCTGGGACACTCTGAAATTACAGAAGCCTACATTCCTTTATTTAACTCACTGAATAAAGGTTTCTGCCGGCCTAGATGAGTGCTCTAACTTCAACTTCCTCCCCTAACAGTGCATCCTACAGCACAGCTTATCTAAGGAATAGTTCTGATATCATGATCCTTATTAAGAAAATTCTGTATCCCACTTCACTTTCAAATTTACTAAGTTACTAAATAACTCGGCACAATGCAGCAACATGCTTTTGGGAATGTGATGGTTAATGTTATGTGTCCACTTGGCTAGGCTATGATTCTCAGTAATGTGGCAGACACTATGTATAATCACTTTCCATTTTGTGATCTGATGTGAGCAATCAATCAGTTGGAAGAGTTTCCTTGGGGGGTGGGGCCTGCATCCAGTATATAAATAGATGTTCTCACAAAGCTCCCTTTTCCTCTCCCTTATCTGACCTCCAGTTCTTGGCATCCAGAACTGTCTTGGCCTCAGATATTGAGTTTATCAGCCACTGCAACCATATGAGCCAGCAAAGCTTTTCAGCCTGTTGTCTGTCTTAGGCTGTGTTCTCTAGAGATGCAAAACCAGTAAAACGTATAAATATATATATATATATAGAGAGAGAGAGAGATTTATATCACGGAAACAGCTCACGTGATTGTAGAGGCTAGAACGTCCCAAGTCCGTGGATCAGGATAGAGGCTTCTCCTGATCCATGTAGCTGCAGGAGCTGGCAAACCCCAGATCTGCAGGTCAGAGAGCAGGACTCTTGCTCACAGGCCGTGAAGATCAACGGATCCCAAGAACAGCAGGTCAGCTGCTAGCTCAAGTCCCAAGAACCAGAGGTCAGATGAAAAGGAGGCAGCTGCAGGATCCAGAGAGGGCAAAAGCCAGAATGTCCACTTATACTGAGATGCAGGCTACATGCCCAAGGAAACTCCCTTTCAACTGATTGGCCACTCACAGCAGATCCCATCATGGGCATGATCACATATAAACACTGAGAATCATGGCCTAGCCAAGCTGACACACAGTCTTAACCATCACACTAACCCATGGATTCGGGACTTGCTAGCCCCCGCTATTGTATGAGCCACTTCCTCACAATTGTGTGAGCCATTTCCTTGAAGTAAACTTCTCTACATATATACCAAAGCATATACCAAAAAGAACTGGTTGACGTTCAGCCATTTCAGGAGGTAGCATATGATCATGAACCAATGGTATTGAAGGAAGAAGTCCAAGCTGCCCTGAAGGCACTGGTGAAAAACAAGGCTCCATGAATTGATGAGAATACCAACTGAGATGTTTCAACAAACGTACGCAACACTGGAAGCGCTCACTCATCTGTGCCAAGAAATCTGGAAGACACCTACCTGGCCAATCAATGGAAGAGATCCATATTTGTGCCATTCCAAAGAAAGGTGATCCAACGGAATGTGGAAATTATCAAACAATATCATTAATATGACACGCAAGTAAAATTTTTGCTGAAGATCATTCAAAAACAGTGGCAGCAGTGCATCAACAGGGAATTGCCAGAAATTCAAGCGAGATTCAGAAGAGGATGTGGAACGAGGGATATCATTGCTCGTGTCAGATGGATCTTGGTTGAAAGCAGAGAATACCAGAAAGATGTTTACCTGTGTTTTACTGACTATGCAGACATTTGATTGTGTGGATCATATTGATAACAAAATGAATAACACTGTGAAGAATGAGTATTCCAGAACACTCAGATGGGTTCATGTGGAACCTATAAATAGACCAAGAGGCAGTTGTTTGAATACAACAGTGGGATACTGTGTGGTTTAAAATCAGGAAAGGTGTGCGTCAGGATTGTATCCTTTCACCATACTTATTCAATCTGTAATGCTAAGCAAATAATCCAAGAAGCTGGACTATGTGAAGAAGAACAGGGCTTTCAGGATTGGAGGAAGACTCATTAACAACCTGTGACATGCAAACGATACAACCTTGCTTCCTGAAAGCAAAGAGGACTTGAAGCACTTACTGATGAAGATCAAAGACTACAGCCTTCAGTATGGATTACACCTCCTCATAAAGAAAACAAAAATCCTCACAACTGGACCAATAAGCAACATCATGATAAACGGAGAAAAGACTGAAGTTGTTAAGGATTTCATTTAACTTGGATCAACACCCATGGAAGCAGCAGTCAAGAAATCAAACGATGCATTACACTGGGGAAATCTGCTGTAAAAGACCTCTTTGAAGTGTTGAAAAGCAAAGATGTCACTTTAAGGACTAAGGTGCGCCTGACCCAAGACATGGGGTTTTCAATTGCCTCATATGCATGGGAAAGCTGGACAATGAATGAGGAACACTGAAGAAGAACTGATGCCTTTGAATTATGCTGTTGGCGAAGAATACTGAATTTACCATAAACTGCCAGAAGAACAAATCTGTGTTGGAAGAATTACAGCCAGAATGCTCCTTAGAAGCAAAAACTGCAAGACTTCCTCTCACATACTTTGGACATATTACCAGGAGGGACTAGTCCCTAGAGAAGGACATCATGCTTGGTAAAGTAGAGGGTTGGAGAAAAAGATGAAGACCCTCAATGAGATGGACTGATAACAATGGCTGCATCCACGGGCTCAAAGGGATGGTGCAGGACCAGGACCGTTATTCACAGATAGGGTTGCCGTGAGTCGGAGTGCACTCGACAGCACCTAACAGCAACAGAGAACCCAGACTAAGACAGGGAATCATGCAGTGGGCAAATACTGGGCAAACTGTTAAAATAAACCTGGGCTTGAATTTCAGCTATGTCACTTACTCCTGAAAAACTTTAATCAAATTATTTAATCTATGTGAGCCTAATTCTGCCTACTTTATGGGACAAAATGAAGGCAGTAAATAAGAAAATTTTTAAGAATCATGGGCAACAATAGCTGGCACTGTGGGATCTAAAAGTTACCAACCACTCTCTCTCACACACACACACACACACACACACACTCTTGCTGATGTCTCCTCCTCATAGGCCCTGGCTTACTCTCTCCATTCTAACCAAGCTAACTTGCTTACAATAAGTTCTGAAAGACTCTTTATCCCCTGCCTTGAAGCCTTTGCTTGTACAACTAACCTGTCATTTTGGAGATGAGATAGAAGGACATTTTATGTTTTCCTCTACACAGCACAAGAATTATCTTCAGAACAACTTCTAAGATTAACTCTATTATGTTTTGTCTAATTGAATATTAAGAAAAGCTATTTGTACATACATTATTGTGTCATTAGTACCTAAGCCTATCTATCTGTCCTAATAACTTATGTTCCTTGAGGATGGGGACTGTCTCTCCCTTCGTTTATATGTACCCCAAAGGATCAATATAAATTTTTCAGCTGTGACAATTCAACTGTACTGTCTTTCAGCAGGAATTAAAGGATTTCTGTGCACGTGCATGCGTGTGTATGTGTGTGTGTGTAGTTGGGAATCAAGCAGTTGATATGTTTATGGTGGTACCTGTTTTTACCCTAATACCTATGAACAATCATACTACTGGCTTTTAAGGGGGGAGAAAAAGAACTCTACATGCCTGCTTCAACAGATCACTTTATTAGTGTGTCATTCTAAACATTACATAAATACAGTCTTTATACTGGAGTATCAAACATTGTTCCAGTAAGTTCAAAAGTACATTTAGGGCTATTCGAAGAAATGTGAATACTTTGGCTTCCATTATTACATCAGTTGAAAAAAATCAATTTGAGAGAATAGTTTTCATTTCCGGTTACGACTAACAACAAAACCAAGTAAAAAAACAAGAGTGTGCATTAAAAAAAAAAAAAAAAAAAAAAAGACATCCAAGGACTTTCTGAAAGACTTATACTACTGTCCTCTTCACTACCATCCATACTCATACAAATTACTCAGTAATCTGAGAAGTGGTTCTTAACCCGTTAGGAACTCAGTAACTATTTGTTGAACGAATGAACTATCTACGCAAATGGATATACTACTTTAATTTGCATTTTTTTAATAAATTTTTTTTCAAGTAAGAATGACAGTAGACATATTGAAGTTCACATTTTGTTTAGATCGTAAGCCTACAGAACAGTGATTGTTACAAACACTATCCATCATAGCTAATAGATGTGCACATTTATCAACCTAATAAGAAAACTCTATCATGTTGCAGAACCAGTTCTAACCTAATAATTAATTGGACTTCAATCATTTGCAACATGGCCAAGAAAAGGCTGCTGGAGCGTCTAGGTTTGTATTTATTTTGCTTATCAACAAATTCCTATCTGGGGTCTCACTGCCTCCCCAAATACACATCCATTTAAGAACATGGCTAAAAACAGTAGCCGTAGCACCTGGTTCACCTTATTAATTTGGGTCTGAAAATATATTCAGGATCCAAATTTAGACAGGGGACCTTCTAAGCAGAAAACAAAAATCGCTAAGGAAGCTCACACCAATGGAAATGAGTTCATGGACCAGAAAGCAAGCTGAGGGGACACATGATACAACACAAAGAGGAACACTCTTCACAAAGTCATGTTTCATGACCAGACCAAAAACAACAGAGCAACTGTCTCTTCAGTAGGATCTTTTCAGGAAAACCATAATTTTGACCCCTTTTCAGGATTTCATTATGCTAAATATTACATCTAAAACAAAAGAGGAAGCTGGTGAGGTTTCAAAAAAGCGAATTTGTGATGGTATTTGGCCGAGATAAAATAAATAATGCAAATTCTGTTAAGACCTGTAAGAAAGTTGGTTTTAAGAACCACTTTGTTCAAGTCTTATGTACGAGATCTCCATGAGATCTTGTACATAATTTATGAAGAAAGAATACACTGAATATATCATTAGTTTCTTCTTATGAGTCAACATTTATAGAGGAAAAGGTGAGGGGAGCAATTTAAATTTATGTCCTCAGATTTTACCTTGATAAGCTAAAACACCATTGGGTAAGTGGTAGAGATTCTAACTTACAAGACATCTTCTTTATCCAAACAAAGTTTCTTTCATTACCATCCTCACGGATAGTTCTAAATCACTACTCTTTATGTGCGCTTAAATCTGAACAGAAATCTTGTCAAACCTAGAAATTTTATCTTTACATAATTATCATTTCAATAGACTTAACTCACGTTAAACTGAATATTACTTCAATATACCACGAAGTTAAAAAAGCCATCCCAGTGCAAGCACACAAACAAAAGCCTGAAATGACTGTAACTATTCCTTCACAGTAACTGAACTAGCAACTGCTGCAGCACTTCAACAAGCCCCGAGGTCGGCATCTCACTTCACGGTGGGTCCTCTGTCTGTATCACAACTGTGAGCCATCGTAACTCCTGGTATCCTGATATGTGACCTGGGAGAGTTGCCTCCACCTTTCCAAGGTCTCCAAGGTGCAGACGTTCCTTTAATCAAAAAAAGCAAAACCCTCACCCTTTTACAATGTTCCAGCCCAAATGTAAGAAACGTCACATTTAAAATACACACATCTGGAAACAATAGTTGCTTTAAGCGGGTTCAGGAAAAGCCATACACCCTTCGGATAAGCCCACACAGACAGCTGTGCCTCAGAGTGAGAAAAACAGCCTGAATGAGGTTTTTACCTGCAAAATTACATCCCCCTTGGGCACAAACAGGACACACCGTCAGCAGTGCCCCAGAGCACTCACGCAGCATGCACGGCCTTCAGCTTCAGTTCTTAAAGGCTCCGCATTTACTGGCTTTAGCAATGAACTCCTTGAGCAGGGGGCCATCCATTTGCCAAAACGCTGCAGTCTGTGTAACTTCTGTCAAATGATTGACACAAAACTTAAAGCAGAATTCTTCTAAATCCTGGACACACACACAAAAAATAAAAACAAAAGGCTTTTTTTAATTAACTTTGATTGAATGACTTCTCTTCAAACCCTTGACCCCAAATTTCTCACCCTTCCCTAGAAAAGACATTTGAGAGGCTAGAAACCTCAGACTAGGCAAACAAGTAGCCACATGTAGTACGTGTTACAAAAGCACATACTGTTTACTCAGAACACAGTAAAAAGCAATGATTTCTTGATTCAAGTCTCACTCTTCAAAACACACCATCTGTGGGGAGAAAAGTCTCCTCCATGGTTATCAGTTGTTGTTAGGTATCATGGAGTTGATTCCAACTCATAGCCACCCTGTGTACAACAGAATGAAACACTGCCTGGTTCTGCGCCATCCTCACGACTGCTGTTATGCTTGAACCCACTGTTGCAGCCACTGTGTCAATCCATCTCGTCGAGGGTCTTCCTCTTTTACATGACCCTCTACTTTTTCAAGCATAATGTCTCTCTCCAGGACTGATCCCTCCTGATAACATGTCTAAAGCATGTGAGACGTAGTCTCCACATCCTTCCAAGGAGCACTCTAGTTGTACTTCTTCCAGGACAGATACATCAGATAGTCTAGTCATACTTACCACCACCTGCCTGTTAGCTTGTTGTACTGTGGTGGCTTGCGTATTGCTGTGATGCTGGAAGCTCTGCCACCAGTATTTCAAATACCAGCAGGGTCATCCATGATGATGGAAAGGTTTCATCAGAGCTTCTAGACTAAGAGCGACTAGGCTATCTACTGCTGAAAACTAGACAATGAAAACATTATGGATCATAACAGAATATTGTCCAAAATAGTGCTGCAAGATGAACCCCGTAAACTGGAAGGTACTCAAAATACACAGTGGCCTCAACAATAGACTCGAGCACTCCAATGATCATGAAGATGGTGCAGGACCAGGCAACATTTGGTTCTGTTGTACATGGGGTCGCCATGAGTCAGAGCTGACTAAATGGGAACTAACAACAGTTATACTCAAAGACTTCAGTCTAAGAAGCTGAAAGCCACTTCAATCCACATCATACATCTTGCCACCTTCAACAAACTAGAGAAAAAATTAAGATATGGGTTATTTAATTTAAGGAAAGGAAGGCTTTAAGAAACAAAAAGGCGATGCAGAAATGTGGTCAACCTTAAGGGACACATTTTTAAAAAAAATTGCAAGGACCTTAAACTCACCTTCGTGCTCTCCCCTAAATAAAAAAGACTTCATTTTAAAGCTACAAATAATGAACTACAACTTTCACCACACCAATTATTCAGGTAGTTAACTCCACAGAAGTATATTCACACAGACTGGATTTTTCAGGCAGACCACCAACATTCATAAGGAAAGTAACATTTACAAGTGGTAAACCAGAACAATTTAAAAATCTACTTCTGCCTATGCTAACGCATACTTTCATCTCCAGCAAAACTCTACCTATAATACTGTTTGTTCCTTCAAATGTTGGAGCGTATATTAAATCAATTATGTGCCCAGAATGCATACAAAGACTAAATACATAAAAGCAAGTAATAACAAAACCTCTTATCACAAATAGTTTGATTTTTATAACTCGGCCAGCTAGTGAGTCCTACACTGAAGGTCGTACTCAGGGTTCTCTCGAGCCAGGAACTCAACAATGTTCAAACTGCACTGGCTTCAAGCTTCCTGCTGCCATGAACTGGGGAGGGGTCCACACAAACCTAGAGAGAGACTCCTTCTCTGCTTTCTCAGCACAGGCCCCTGCAAGCAAACATTTCCTTATCCTAAGGCTTCACTGGCCGCAGTTAATTCAGGAAACCCACCCAGTCACACAACCACAAGAGACAAATGACATCTAACATCTGTCACCTGCTGCTGCCACAAGTGTACTTTTCTAGATAATTCAAAATGCATTTTAGACATCAGCACAATCTCTAGACTCATGTTTTCACAAGGGAGTCTCAGTGGGCTAAGTGTAAGCCGAACACTCTGTATATTATAACAAACTAAAATGTTAAAAGCTATAAAAAACATTCCCTCTCAGATTATTAAAGAAAAAGCACTACTCCTGGTACTACTCAATGATTAATAAATGCTCTCAGGAATGATTATATTCCACAAGGAAATAAAATTTACATTTTAATCGTATTTAGTTATCAAAAATAGAAAACCAGTTTATCTAGACCCAACCTTGGAAGAATTACAAGATCCTCCTTAGCCAGTCATAAGCACAAGAAAGTTCCTCAAACCATGCAGTATCAGATAAGGGCCTTTATAAGTTAAAAGTTTTAATTATATAATTATAAGTTGAAAGTTTTAATTATATAAGTTAAAAGTTTTAATTATATAATTTCAAATTTACTGGAAAGAAAGAGTGCACTAAATTTTGGCATCATAAAATCTTATCATTTCCATGCCTATTCATTTGGGATTCAAGATCTTTATAATAAACATGAAAAAGTAATTTACTCAGCTTACTGTGCACAGAGACTTTGTACACACTATAGGTATACAAATGCTGCTTCTAACTACAAATCACCTTCACATGGTTATGAAAATGTTCTATCAAACTGGCCTTCCCTTCCCTTCCCTTCCAATGGGTGAGACAGCTTAGTATTCAACACTGCTTAACAGTTTCACACATGAAAAATCTGACTAGAGAATACTGAAAACAATCTAGATCTGGATTTTCTCAGTAGTCGAACCTTGGGGAAGGCAGGTCGATGTTGTATTTGGGGAGAGAGAAATTGGACTCTGCAGGCTCATGCGCGTGAAGCAGAGGACGGCACAGAAAGGCAGAAGAGCAGGTTCACGTAGGAACCCACCCTGAGCTAGTTTGCCTTTGATGTGTGACTTATATAAGCACCCTTGTGGCGAGGTAGTTTTTTATACTGTAAGAGCCTACGAGATTTGCTCAACTCATTCTCAAACAGTCAGATCTTCAATTACCTAGGGGGAAAAAATGCAACTCTTACCCAACTAATGAGTCAACCACAACAGGGCTGCTGGACTTTAAGTAAAACATTTCCAAGAAGGACGAGAAGGATCACTTGACTAGGAGTCGAAAAAAGCTCATCACAGAACGCAAAAATCTTTTCAAGATCCACAGAATTGGGAGGTGGAAGAGTGTGAAGTGGAGGGGTCTAATATGGTCTCCGTATTTTAGAAACTAAATTTCATGTTAATGGCATCCTGTGGCGAAAATTATAAAGTAGCTCTGAGGCAAAACAGATAAAATATCCAATTTATTAAAATTAGCAAAGAAGATCAAAGTAAAAATTTGCTAATCTGAAATAATTTATAAATTCATTTCAAATCTTTAAACATTTATTCTAATCACAACACATACGCTGAAAATAAGTTGTCTGCCCTTTCCACAGATTTTCTTTAGTAACAAAACACACACAATTGATGGTCTGAATGCAGCCTTTAAGTTCTGATCTAGTCCTAAAATACCAAGGCTAAAATAATCGAATGCTAAGACTTACTGTGTAAGACCACTTGGACAGCGAGAGAGACTGTTTGCCTGAAAGCTGTGTCACAAGCCATCTTTGAGATATATGCCAGATGGCAAGAGATCACAAACCACAAATAACTCTGTCCAAGTTGCTGAGCGGATAGAATTTTCTGGAAAGTTCTTTACTCTGATAAAACAAATAATATTTCCCAACTCTTTCTATCAATGGTCAACTATACATGGCAAACGAAAATTTCCTGAATAGAAAGAGTATAAATAGAAGCATTTCAAAATTTTTACAATGTGATAGAGCACTATCTTGAGATAATGTTTTATTCACATTTTCTCTCTTGAGATCAACATTTATTCAGGTCTGTACTGGAGGAATAATTAAGTGCTCCTTCTTTAGCACTTCTTTACTGTATAAAACTTTTAGAAAGTCTGACAATGCATTCATAAAGCAACAACTGCACAACCATCAGCTTACTTTTTAAAATCCTAATAACTGCCGAGTCAGTGAATTTTTATTGCTTCATGTGTCCACATGCAAATTATCTTGTCCGAAGAGGGTCTGGAGGAACTGCAGTGACTTTTACAGAAGAGAGAAGAGACACAAGAAGCAGGCAATTTCCAGCTTCCCAGTATTTCGACGCAGAGAAGGAAGGAAAAGTCATTTACTATCCTGAAACTGAGCTTCTGAGAACAAGTAGTTTTTGTAGTTAATTTCTAATCTGACTTGGTAGTAGCTTCCCATCAACTAACAGAGATAGTAGTGGGTTTTATTTTTGAATTCTGAATACTTTATGTATTTGCTTACCACAAATTTATTACAGCACTAAGGAAATCAAATGTAAAAGTGCAGAGTCAATTACACAGCTCCCCTCAGAACCGCAAAATTAGACTCCTATACCAAAATAGGAAATAGAAAGAAAGGGATGATTTTTCTTTTTGTCTTCTATTTTCTACTTTTTCTATATTGAACATGTAATATTTGTGAATATTTGTGGGGTTTTTTGTTTAAGTTTTTTTAAAAAGCACAGCTTCATGGTGCGGTATCTCAAATATACCCATTCATTCATTTATTCCACATGGATTTTTGAGTGCCGACTATATGCCTGCACTGACAGGCACTGGGGAATCGCATGCATTTACAGTCTCTCTAAAGGAATGGTTTGTAATGTGTTTGTTCTTAATATGAGAAAAAGAAAAACTAGTAGGGAAGAAGATCAGATGGCATGGGCAGAAGAGGCCTAAGGCTTTTTGGAGGGCAGATTTTAGCTGAAGGTGAGAAGGAAATTTCCACCAACTAGAGCTAAGATGTTTCTGCCCAGATTGTCCTAACTGGTGCTCGTCAGCAAGGTCCTAATCCTAACAGTATGGAACTCATTAGCAAGGAGAAGAAGTCCAGAGAGATGTAGAAAAGACTCTAGAATCAATTACCAAATGGAGAGAAAAGGCTTCCACTCAATTTAAAATTATATCACTGGGTGGAAATAAAATTTAAAGAAATGTAATTTCTCACAAAGAAGTTCATGGTGTCACAGGAAAGGCAGACAAGAAAAATCATCCCTCCATCTTCTATGAGAAACAATTTACTCTGATAACCATTCCATCTACTGTCAGACTGCAGAGAAAGTCAGCTATATTTGGCCTTATCAAATATTTATAATCATAATTTCAAACATAAATAGGATACATTTTGAAAATACAAGACATTATGGTCCATTTCGGTCTCTAAATGCAATAAATATAAATTTTGTCCTCTGCTATGTTTCAGAGATCACAGCTACAGATCTTTGTAGGAGTCTGATAAACTACCTGATACCATGTATTGCGCCTTGTCAAATGATGACAAAATACCTGTCAGAACAGGCTATTATGCCATTTAAGATGTACACATTTGCTAGACATCTTGAACTTCCAAGGCTATCCCTCTCTTTGAATTTGTAAAACCAAGCATACCAGCATTTAGCACACTAATTATTCTCAATAGATCCTTTACAGGGCACTGTCTTCATTCAGTTCAACAAACATGTATCACCAAGTGCCTAATACGTGCCAGGCACTAGAGGGTTCCTGGATGAATAAAACACCATTCCTGCTCATGAGGCGCTTACAGCCTAATGCTTTGGCTCTTAACTTTAAGAAAATCCACATAAACAAAATTTCAGACTCCCGGGAGCCCATTCACTCACAAACCCTCAAGAGAGCCACAAATCCCAGATTAAGAACTCGATCCAGCTTAAAAAAAGAGGAGTCCACAGTAAGTTCTTAATACAGGATAACTGAGTCATAATCAGACAATGTTAGAATTTCAGGGCATACATGGATAGAAATCACACGGCAGCCTTGGCTTATGACAGTGCAGAGTCAGGGAGAGAGCAAAGTGGGTCTTGAAAAAAGTCAATATGCTGACACAGACATACTTGACACTAACAAATATGCCGTTTGGTAGTCCAATTAAGTGTGACACTTTGTATTTCAACTTGTGGTACCTGTTAAACCTCAGGCACTTAGCTTCTTATCTTAGTTAAAAATGGAAGTAAAAGAACAATCATTTTGAAACTATGAGCACGGAATAAAGAAATACGGCCAGACTTTGTTTTCTAAGGATCGGTCAGTTCACTGATTCCCTAAACAGAACTGAAGCGACTCATCATGTTCCTCTGTCTTAGAGTGGGGAGAAAAACGGGGGCTGGGGGAATGAGCATATGAGTGAAGGGCAGTTTGGGTTTGCTGTTTGCTGGTTTATGTTACCTCTGCGTCGTATCTGACTGCAGCGGAGAATAATGAAAAGGCATTCTCTACAGTAATTCCTCGCTTGATAATGTGCTGACAAAGCTTTTTCAGTCTGTTTTCACAGTAAGATGTTGCCAAATCCAAAAGACCTAAAAGTAAAAAGTGTGGGAAGTTGTAATCAAATTTACAATAATTTCCCATGATTTTTAAACATATACATTTCATTTTGGGGGACAGAGTTATGTAGGTTAAGTCAGCAAAAATTTCTTACTGAGTAATATTCTAATTTTATTAAATACATTCTCTTTCCTACTCCCTAACTCCCCCACCTCTAAAACATACCTCTCCTACACAAATTGTATACAATTCCTTCTACAGTAAAAAGAAGAAATCCAAAAATGGTATTTCCCCTTTTTGTTTCCAAGTTCAAAATAAACTTTTGTCCCACCAAAATGATATGTTAAATCCTAATTAGCAACTTCAGTATTAAAAGATTAAAGTAAGTCCACAGTAATAAACTGTGTCCACATTATTAATCATAATTCCACAATGCTATTTTTGAAGACAGTTAATTTAAATCTTTTAAAAAATCACATAAAAGCCAATAAAACTGAAACTTTTTCCATTTCAGTACAGTAAGAACATGAGGAGATACATTTTTGGCCCATAAGGCCATAAGCTTGGCCAGCCACAATGTACCTATAGCGTCTTCAGGCGGCAGATCAACTGCATCTGTGTACAGGTACTGGAGAAAGGCACGATACACAGGGTAAGAAAACTGGTCTATTTCTATCACTTCCTCTGAGTCCTCATTCCAGTAAGAGTGGAACATAGATCGAAAGTGCTCACACCTAAGACCAAAAAGCAAGTTTCCTGATCAAGTTGATGAAATCAGATGAACAAATATTAGAGGTATCCGTCCTTCACAACTGTAACCGGGCCTGCACGTACCAGGACCATGACTCATTAGCTCACACCCTAAGAACATTCCACGTGCAAGGGCTTTTATTTATGCCTTTTTCATATACTCTCTTTCATTTTTTTTTAATTTATTTTTTGTGGTGGTTGTTGAAAATACACAAAGCAGAACATACACTGAGTCCACAATTTCCACATGTACAATTCCATGACAATGATTACTTTCTTCAAGTTGTGTAACCAGTCTCACCCTCCTTTTCTGAATTGTTCCTCCCCTATTAACATACCTCACTGCCCCCTATGCTTCCTATCTAACCTTTCACAAGTTGCTGTTGTCAATCTGATCCCATAGGGTCACTGTGAGTTGGAATCGACTTGACAGCAACGGGTTTGGTTTTTAGAAGCGCATGCAAAAGTACCTGATTTTTAAAACAGCTTTATGGACATGAATATATTTCCCATCAATTCGAAACTTCAGATCAGCAGTTTCTGGACTATCAAATTCTTGCTTTAGTGACTCTGCAACGGTTAAGAAATCTTCATGCTCTGCAGATAACAAACACACTATTAATACAGAAAACTGAAAAAACATACACAAAATTTGAAAGAGTTCAGAAAGATAATTGTTAGCATGGTAGATAATTCCATTAAACTTTTATTAAGAAAGTTCACACCTTATTTGACAAATCAATTTCAAAGTATTACTATTATAAGTACACTGAGTTTATAACCTATCAAAAAATTACAATGCAAATATCTGGAAAGGCTAAATACATTAATACTAAGTTAGACATTAGAGATGTGTATTAAAAAAAAGACATGTAGTAAAAGAAAAATAAAGTCACAGGTAGTCCATGATGACATAACTACTCTCTCAAAACTTGAGTGGTGGAGGTGGAGCCAACATGGCACCCTAGACAGACACATCATGCCATCCCTCTGCAGAAAAGACCCGAAAAACTAAGTAAAACAGATCCAAATGTCAATCCTGGAACTCTAAGCATCAAATAAAGGCATAAAGAACTAGATCAAACACTGAATGAAAGAAGAAACGGAAGGAAAACAGAGAACAAGGAGAGATGCAGAGAGGAGGTCCATTGCCAGCTAACATGGCACAGTGTCACCATCTTGGAGCACAGCCTGCAGTGGACAGGGAGTATGGGAAAGAAACTTCAGAGAGCTCCTAACAGGAGGCAGAGCACCCGGTAACCAGAGAAACACACTTTCCCATCCCTCACCCTTCTGCCCCATATGCCCTTTTGACAGGCCATGCTGCGTCACTCAGCTAGAGAGCTACTGGCCTGCTGTTACCTGGGTCCACCCCACTCCCACCCACCAGCTCCTGTCATGTCATTTTTTTTCCCTTTCTTCCTTTTCTTTCTCCCTCCCACCTAGCCATGTACACCACCTCCACCCCTTCCCAATGGGCCACACGGTGCCACTCAGCTAAGGAGCTACTGGCCTGCCATCACCCCAGGTCCACCCCACCCCCACTTGCTGGCTCCTGTTGTGCCGTTTTTTCCCCTTTCTTCCTTTCCTTTCTCCCTCCCACCTAGCCCCATATGCCACCCGCACCACTTCCCAATGGGCCAGGAGGCGCTGCTCAGCTAGAGAGCTATCCACCTGCCATCACCCTAGGTCCGCCTGCCCCTACCCACTGGCTCCTGACACATCTTTTTTTTTCTTCTTTCCCTTTCTTCCTTTTCTTTCTCATTCCCATCTAGCCCTGTACACAATCTCCAGCCCTTCCAGAGGGGTTGCACTGAGCTGTTCAGCTAGAAAGCTACCAGATCTTTATCACTCTGGGTCTACCCCACCCATACCCACCAGCTCCTGATGCACTGGTTTTTTTTTAACCTTTTTTCTTTTTCTTCCTCCTTCCCACCTAGCCCCATACGCCACCTCTAACCTTTCCCAATTGGCCACGCTGCAATGCTGCAAGTAGACAGCTACTGACCTACCGTCAGCCCGGGTCCTCCCACCCCCACCCGCCGACTCCAGGTGCACACCATTTTTTTCTTCTCTTCCTTTACTTTCTCCCTACCACTTAGCCCCATACTCCACCTTAACCCCTTCCTACCAAGCCATGCTGCGCCACCTTAGCTAGAGAGCCACTGGCCCAATGCCCCGAGTCTGTCCTTCCCCAATATGCCAGCTCCATCATGCCTTTTTTTTCTCTTCTTTTCTCTTTTTCTCCTTTCTTCCTTTTCTTTCTCCCTGCCACCTAGCCCTGTATGCAACCTCTACCCATTCCCTCCAGGCCTTACCGCACCACCATGGGTAAAGAACTACTGGCTCACTGTCGCCACCCTGAGTCCCACCCACCCCCACTGCCAGCTACTGCTGCATCATTTTTCTTCTTTTTTTCCTTCTCTTTCTCCCTCCCATCTAGCTCCCTATGCCATCTCAACCCCTTCCTGCCAAGCCATGCCACACTGCCATGGGGAGAGAGCCATAGGCCTGCCACTGCTCTGGGTTTGCCCCACCCCCATCAGTTGGCTCACATCGTGCCATTTTTTCCCCTTTCTTCCTTTTCTTTCTCCCTCCTACCTAACCCCATATGCCACCTCTACCCCTTCCCGTCGGACCACACCACACTCTCGCGGCTAGAGAACCACCAGCCTGGGGCCACACTGAGTCCACCCCACCACCACCCACCGGCTCTCATCATGCCATTTTTTCACCTTTCTTTCTTTTTCCCGCCCACCTAGCCCATACGCCATACCTCTGCCTCTTTCTGCAGCCCCAAGGTCCACCTTGCCTCCACCTGTCAGCTACCTTTTTTTCTCTCTCTCTTTTGTCCCCCCCCCCACCTAGTCCCATATGTCATCCTCCCCTTCCCACCAGCCCTCGCTGTGCCACCGTGGCTAAAGTAACCCCTGCTCAGGCCTGCCACTGCACTAGACCTGCAATGCCCCTCCCGTACCTTCACTTGGCCACCAATGAACCAACATGAGGATGCAGACAGTGCCTGACCAGTCCGCCCTCAGCCACATAGTGTTCAGCAAGAGGGCCCACCATGCCTGCTGCCCTGCCCATTCGGACAAAGTGGTGAGAGCTATCGTGCCCACAGACAAGCCAGCAGCAAAGCACACCTGGCCTGCCTACCCTGACATTTCAAAACAAAACAAATAAGCCAGATGAAACAAATGAACACACAATCAATAAATACAAAAAATAATACCTTAATGTCTTGAGACAGCAGACAATATTAAAACATAGAAAAGCAGGACAAGATGGCTCCAGCATGTAACCAAATAAAGAATCAAATGACCTTTCAGTAGAAAAGGCAGTGGAACTACCTGATATGGAATTCAAAAGACTAATATTTAGGACTCTCCAAGAGATCAGGAAAGAGAACGAGGAAAACAGACAAAAACAAGGAAAACATATCCAAAATCCAAGGAAAACACAGACAAACCAATAGAAGAATTCAGGAAAATAATACAAGAATAAAATGTCAAAATAAATAAACAATTAGAAATCATATAAAAACAGCAACTAGAAATCCAAAAAATAAACAACAAAATTTCAGAAATAAACAACTCAATAGAGGGTTTTAGGAGCAAATTTGAAACAATGGAAGACAGAATCTGCGAAATTGAGGACAAATCCATGGATGCCACTTTGTTTGACGAAAAATCAAAGAATAAAGAAAACCTGAGAATTATGTGAGACACAATCAAAAGAAATAATTTTAGTGTGATTGGAGTTACAGAACAGGGGGAGAAAATGGAAAACTGAGAGAAGACTGTTGAAGATTTGCTGGCAGAAAATTTCCCAAATACCATGAAAGGTGAAAACCTGACCATCCAAGAAGCTAAAAAAACCCCAGATAGGAGAGACCCCAAAACACAGTCACCAAGACATATCATAACCACACTAACCTAAAACAAAGACAAAGAATTCTGAGAGCAGCTTGAGAAAAATGAAAAGTCACTACAAAGGGGAAATAAGACGACTAAGGTCTGATTACCCAGCAGAAACTATGCAGGCAAGAAGGCAAAAAACTGTCAACCAAAAATAATATATCTTACAAAACTCTCTCTCAAATATAATGGTGAAATTAGAATATTTCATGATAAACAGAAATTAAGGAAATTCATAAAAACCAAACCAAACTTAAAAGAAATATTAAAAGGAGTCCTTTGGTTAGAGAACCAACAACATCAGACAACAACCAGAGTCTAGGACACAGGACAGCACCAGCAAGACACCAATGAAGGTAAAGAACTCTCAATAGTAAAACAAACCTAAAAGTCTTAAAACAGGGAAATAGAGACATCAATCTGTAAATGACAACAATGTCACAAGAATAAAAGGGGGAACAAATGGTGTAGGTATAGAACTTTCAAATGGTGAGGAAATCAAGGTGATATCGAGTAATAAAAGACTACTTCAAACTTAAGAAGGTAAGGATAAACTTCAAAGTGACTACAAAGAAAGCTAACAAACCTACTCACTAAAATAAAGAAAAAAAACAAAGTCTCAGCAAACACAACTCTACAATAATGAAAAAAAAAGAAAATCCACAAACAAAAGAATTCAGCACAGGAAACAAAGAGGAATAAAGAAAACTTCAGCACCACAAAATTAAAAAAAAAAAAATTGAACAATATGACGGCAATAAACTCATACCTATTAATAATCCTACTGAATGTAAATGGATTAAGTATGCCTGTAAAGAGACAAAGAGTGGCAGAATGGATTACAAAAAATAACACACGACCCATCAATATGCTGTGTATAAGAGTCACACCTTAGACACAAAGACATAAATAAATTAAAAATCAAATGATGGAAAAAATAGATCAAGCAAATAGTAACCAAAAAAGGGCAGAAGTGGCAATACTAATCTCAGATAAAACAGATTTTAAGGCAGAATCCAAAAAATACAAAATTGATAAAAGACAGGGAAAGACATCATATAATGATTAAAGGGACAATCCACCAAGAAGACATAACTTAATAAATAACTACGCACCCAACAACAAGGCTCCAAAATACATAAAACAAACGTTAACAACACTGAAAAGAGAAATAGACAGTTCCACAATAATAGCAGGAGACTTCAACAAACCACTCTAGGTAATGGACAGAACACCTAGAAAGAAACACAAAGATACAGAAGATCTAAAGGCCAAAATCAACCAATTAGACCTCACAGACATATATAGAACACGCCACCCAACAGCAGCCAAGTATACATTCTTTTCCAATGCACATGGAACATTCTCCAGAATAGAACATATTTTAGGCCACACAGCAACCCTCAATAAAATCCAAAACATCAAAATAATACAAAGCATTCTCTCTGATCATAACACCATCAAAGTAGAAATCAATAACAGGAAGGGCAAGGAAAAAAACTCAAACACATGGAAACTGAATAACACCTTCCTTTAAAAAACTGGGTTATACAAGAAATCAAAAGTGGATTAAAAAAAATTCCTAGAATCAAATTAGAATGAAAATACATCATACAAAAACCTTTGGGACACAGTAAAGTTAGTGCTCAGTGGTTAATTTATAGCAATAAACACACA